GGAGTTGGAACCCGGGACCACTGCCGCTTCGCCGCCCTCTGCCAACGCTGCCACTTGGCCTGCCGTCGCCGCCGCCACGGCGGGGACCATCACCGCTTCGCCGCCCGCTGCTGCCGCTGTAACCTGGGGACCTGCCACTGCAGACGCTACGTCATCGTCGCCGCCGCACACCGCTGGTGGCGCACCATGGAATGCAGCCGCCGCCGCCGCCGCACCGTCGCCGCTGCCGCCAACCTCCGGGACCGCGTTACCCGCCACTGTCACCGCGGCCGCGCCGTCGCCGCTGCCGCCGACCTCCGGGGCCGCCGTGCCGCTTGTGCCTTCGCCAGGTGCCACCGCGCTGCCGCGCCCGAGGACGACCGCGACGAGGACCACCGACGTCACAGCCGCCGCTTCGTCATCGCCGCAGCATACCACCGCAGGTGGGACGCGGATTCATCCAGCCGCCACCGCCGTCCCCGCGTCGTCGCCGACATCGCCTTACTCGGGGCATGCATCGCCACAGGCGGGACTGGTTATCTTCTCCTACGGAGGCCGCTGCTCCATCTTCGACGGCGCGCGATGAACGGCAAGCCGATGGTTAGGTATGGGTTGGTGGGGGCCGGTGAGCTGGGGGGCGGCGAGCAGGGGGGCGATGGAGGACAATACGGTTGGGGGGGAGACGTGCGGGTGATCAAGAGCAAATAGGTGGGGGTCGATACCGGTGGAAATGATGTGTGGAGAATGAGTGGTCGGTCGACCCCGCGTGACACGCCTTGTGTCGCCGGGTCTGCTCTTTGTCATGTGCGTTTCGTGTTTCGTTTTGTTTTTGTTTGTCCTTCTTTCTAGCAGCGAGTTTTCTTGTTTCATTTGTTGCTGTTCTTAAATCTAAAGTCATGGGGGGGGGTGTCATGTGTGACCATGATTCGAGATGGCATGAACAGCAATCGAGTTGTTTCTGTTTTCATATGAATACCTGCTTAGCAAACGGACTGTTGACGTATTGATAGTAACGGAGTGTTCTTTCATGGACTCTGGAAATATCAGAGGTGTGTTTTGGAATGTGACAGAATGGAGGCTG